AGGGGGGGGAGGCAGTCCTGGGAGAGACCACTGCGGGGCGGGGGGGCGGAGGGTTCCGGTAGCCGGTGCGCGGCCGCAGCTCGCGGCGGAGCCGGGACAGCGGGACACCGGGACAGCCGGGATAACCGGGACACCCCGCGGGCCCAGCCGGCGCCGATGCCGAGCAGCAGCTGACGGCGGCGGGGACGCGGAAATGGAGCCGCGGCCGGGCCGGGCCGTGCGGGCGCTGTGCGGCCTCTCCCTCCTGCTGCTCCTGCTGCCGGCCGTGCCGCAGCCCGGCCGCGCCGAGCGGGCCCCCGGCTCGCACCTGGACGAGTCGGCCATCGCAGGTGAGCAGCGCCCGCGGGCTCCGCTTCGGGGCCGTTCCCCCGCCCTCGGGCACGGGCTGCGCGCCCCGCGAGCACCGGGCACCCCGCCTGCCCCTGCCGCGGCCCGAAGTTCCACCTCCGGGCTCCTTCCGAGTGCTGCGCTGCTCGGGGCTAGGCGGCAGCGGCTGGGAGCGCCCGCCCGGCGCGGCTGAGAGAGGTGATGGGTGTTATTTACTTGTTGGTGGCAGGGAGCGGCGCACGGGCTGTTTGCAGGGCCCCCGTCCCCGCAGCCCAGCCGGGCTTTGCCCCAGCCCCGCTCCCCGGGCTCCGTGTCCTTGCGGCGCTGCCCGAGGTCAGCGTGGGAGCCCGGGGCGCCCGGGCAGGCACAGCCTGCGGCGGGCCGGGGGTCTGGGGCCGGGGAAGGGCTCGGAGCGGTGTTTGCAGGCTGCGGTTGGCTGGAAGGCGGCCGGGCAGGGCCGGGGGGAGCGGGGCACGGAGCCGGCCCCGGAGCTGCGGGACCGGCGGAGCCGCGGCACCTCGGGCCGGGAGCTCGGGGCCCGTCCCGGCCGGGGATGGGCTCTGTCACCCGCTGAATGCCGGACCGGCGCTGCTCATCCCGCGCTCCCGGAGCCCCGGGCCCGTTCGCATCCAGTCTGCTCTCCGCTAAGGAAACTGGATCTCCGCAGTCCTCCCGAAGCGAGGTTTGTGCCTCCAAGGAATTTCCAGCGCGGTTATTTTTGGAGGCCCTGCAGAAGTGTGGCAGCCTGGGTGATTCAGCTGCTGGCTGCGCTCTTGGCGAGCGGAGGCAGCCCCGGCACGGCACAGCACGGCACGGCACGGGCGGGAGCAGCCCCGGCGCTGGGCTCCAAACCCGCCCGGAGCGGCTGCTCGTGCCGGGCCGGCGCTTCGGGGCACCCCGGGCCGTGCTGGGGCTCCCAGGGCTGCGGGAGGGTGGCCGGGGACGGTCGGTGTCCCTGCTCCGTGTCTGTCCCGGGAGGCTCCGTGCCCGCTGTGCCGCAGCCCCGCGGGTCCCCCGAGCTCTCCCGACCCTTTGGGTGGGAGCTGTCGCTCCCAGCTCCCGGCAGGGCATGTCCTCAGCCCGCACAGGACACGCTTTTCCCCGTGCTTTCCCTGGAAGCAGAAGGTGGGAGGCAGAGGTGAGTGTTGGACGTGTTTGAAAGCGAAAGTGCTCGGCTTTGACACGTTTTCCAACGTGCAAAGGTGCTTTTAAAGATTTTTTAAAAAATTTTTTTTATTTTTGAAATTCTTTAACTAGGACGGCAGGATTTTAATAAGAAAATGCCAGCGCCGGGGAAGTTTCTCAGGGAAGTGTTTGCAGAGAGCAGCAGCCGGAGCTGCAGCACCTCTTGGGCTGCTGAGGTTCCTCTGCTCGCTCAGGGGATGCATCAGCAGGTTTGGCAGAGGAGCAGGGAATGATCCCGACCCCTGGGAGAGATTGTTGAGCAAGAGTGTGAAACGGGTGGGTTTACCCATGCAGGAAAATCACAGCAGGTGACCGAACCCCGGGGAAAACCAGAATTTCTCCTGGCTTTGACTCCCTCAGAGGCGAATGGAGGCCTTAATCTTGGAGCTGCAATCTTTTCCTGCCGGGATCGCTCTGGAGTTTGGTTCCAGTCGGCAGCACGGGAGCCACGGGAGGAGGAGCGGGGCTTTGGAGGCCAGGCCGGGCAGAAGGAGCCCCTGGCAGCCCCTGGGCCTGGCCCGGGCCAGGTTCGGCTCCTGCCGCTGTCACAGGATGTGTGACGGCCCCACGGCATTGTTTGCACCCGCCCTGGTTATTTTTAGCCCGAATTTGTCAGGCTGCAGCCCGGCCTGGGACCTTTTCACACCCCCTAAAAGGGGGCAAACGAGGCTCCTCAGGGACAAACTGGACTTCCAGGAATTTTTCCCCCCTTTCTGCTCATTTGCTGTACTCTGGATGTTGCCCAGATCAGCCAGGTTTGAGTGCTTTTTCTGGTCCTTATCAGAACATCCTCCGGGGCTGTGGCCCGAGTTTTACATGAGTTTTATGTGGGCCATCAAAAGTGTAACCCATTGTTTGGGTCAAATGTCGTAAATTTCATCTCATTTAAAATACAAACCTTGCTCTGCTGGCCCTTCCTCCTCAAACCACATCACCTGCAGCCAGTGTGTGGGATTTAGGGCTGTTTTTATTTTAATTGCTTGCCCTCTGTGTAGCCCAGCCCAGGTGGGCACTTCCAGGTGTGTTTGTAGGAGATCCAGGGGAAGCTGACTGTGGAGAGCTGGGGTTTGGATGGCTGGGGCTCATCCCTGGTTCCCTGCATGGTGACAGCTTCCCCCTGCAGATCCAGGGGCATCCAGATCCCCCTGCAATTACATGGGAGTGGTGCAAGTCTGCATTGCCCCGAGCCTTATTCCATTGTGCAGGGAATTCTTCCTGAGTCTGGCATCCACAGGGATCTGGGCTCCTGTGGGTGCCTGTTCTGGCATCCTCGAGGCAGGGCAGGGATTGTGGGGTGGATTTTCCCTCTTTCCTGCAGCAGCTCGGAGGTGGGCTCTGAATTCTGTGTCGAGTGGAGGTGTTTTTGGGTGATGCCTCAGGGCGGCGAGGCACAGGTTTGGTGGCTTTTCCCCTTTCACAGCAGCTCCTCTTTCTCTTCCTTTCTCCTGCCCTGTGGTTCCTGCTTCCCTGTCCTGATTCCTTCATCACAACCCCTCTTGAGTCATTGCTTTTATCTCGGTGGTTTAAAAAACAAGTTAAAACCACATCCTGGTAGTGCTGGTGCCCAAATCTGGAGGGCTGTGCCCAGGGCTGTTCCTGTGTGTGTCTGGAACACCTGGAGCTGCCCTCAAACCCAGGGAGCATCCTGTGGGACAAAGCAGGGTGAGGAAGGGGGCTGCAGCCACAGCCTGGTGACTGTCATTGATCCCAGAGGGGGAGAAGGTGAATTTCTGTGTGCCCAAGCCCTGTCTGTCCTTGCCATCCCATGGCCCAGGGGTTCATTGGAAGTGAATCCTTTGTGCAAAACCTCTGCCTTGGGAAGTGCTGGGTTTGGGCTTGAAACCAGCAGTGAGGGATTTTGTCCTGTGAGCAGGACGTGGCCTCAGTGGAGCCATGGGGAGCTCAGTGATGCCTCATCCTGGCTCTCTGTCCTTCCACAGACTTGGGGCAGTTCAAGGGACACAGTGACCCGCTGTGCCCTCCTTGCTTTGATAAAATGCCTTGCAGAGGAGACTTTGCTGATAAATCAATTCCTTGGAGGGGTTCACTGGGTGGAAGTTGCACCTGTGAGCAGCAGCTTTGGGTTGGGTGAGGGAGACAAAGCAGTTGTGGGAATACTTGGAGAGCTCTGCCAGGGAAAAGTCCATGTTCTTCCCCAGCTCAGTTGGAAGCGCAGCCTCGGCTTTCTTCACGAATGAAACTCATCTCGAGGAATTGCCATTCTGAGAGCTGGAAAAATTGTGTTTTGGCAGCAAAGTGGCCTCATGTGGAGGAGGAGGGGAGCAGGGCCGACTGGGCAGCGCTGGGGCTGCTGGGGAGCTCCTGGCTCCCTCCAGCTCATTCCCTTCCCTGCTTGGCCCAGAAACTTGGAGTAATGCTCAGCTGGATCAGAGAGAGGATCTTAATTTAATTTCTTGTAGGATTTATTTATTTGCTCCCTTGGAAAGCAGCTGTCTCCATGTCTGCTGTGCCCCCGGGGTGGTCCCATCCCTCAGGAGGGTTCAGGGGGAGCTGCTGGGGCTGCAGGGAGCTGCAGCTCCTGCTCCAAACTGGGCTTTGGGTTGGCCTTTCCCACCGTGGGGCAGGGATGCCCACATCCATGTGGAACTCCAAGGCAGCAATCCTTCTGTCCTTCCCACCCTTTGCTCTCAGGAGGGCATGGAGCAGAAAATGTGTGGGGAAAGAGTCTCCTGACATCCCTTGTGCTGCAGCTGCAGGGTCTGGGATGCCCTGGTGGTCCTGGAGTGGAGACTTATCCCAAAAGGAGTGGGAAGGAAAAGCTTCTGTGCTTCTGTGGCCTGCTCAGTTGGTGTTTGGCTCATGGGCTGCCTGGGCGTGTTGGTACACCACAATTCCCCATGGGAGCTCTCTCCTGCCCTGGGCAGGGGCTGGAGGGATGGGTGAGAGTCTGGGGCCAGTCCTGGGGAGGTGAGGCACCCTCCATGGAGCTGTGGTTCATGATCTGCCTGGCATTTGGGGAGGGAGGGGACCTAAAAGGCCATCCTGGTATTTAGGGGCTGCCCAGGGAGCTTGGCAGTGCCCATCCCTGCAGGTGTCCCCTGGGGGTGGCACTGAGTGCTCTGGGCTGGGAACAAGGTGGCCATGGGGCACAGCTGGCACTGCCTGGGCTGGAGGGCTGTGCCAGCCCCAGGGATTTGGGATTGTGGGATTTATGAGTAAAAAATCCCTTTCTGTGAGCTGGTGGAAAGCAGCACTTCCCTGGTGTCCTGCTGCTTGTCCCACTTGGAGGCTGTGCTGCTGGGGAGGCGCTGGCAGTGCTCGTGTCCCTGGTGCTTCCAACCCAGGGGCAGTGCCAGCCCTGGCCACCCTTCGGTGCTGGACTGTGCCCAGCCTGGCATTCTGCTCCCCACAGCCCTAATTACACAAACTTATTAGTGTTAAAAAAGCTGTTTGCTCCATTAATTAGCTTTGCTCTAAATCCAGAGAGGGAGAAATAAACTCCTGGCAGGCGGGAGAGTTGTGGCTCTCCCTGGCAGCTCTGGATTGCCTCTGGAAAGGCCCTTTGGGACCAGGGTGGTTCCTGTTCTGGCTGGCCCTGCTGTGGGGTACAGGAGGGGCAGGAACGTGCTGGAAACAGGAGCTGGGACCTTCACTGCTCTTGGGTGAGGGTCTGGGGATCCCACTGCCCCCAGCTGGAGAAGGAGATTCTGTCAGCCCTCCTTGTGTCAGTCAGGTCCTACTGGGGAGAAATCCTTCCCTGGCAGGGTGGGCAGGGCTGGCACAGGGTGCCCAGAGCAGCTGGGGCTGCCCCTGGATCCCTGGCAGTGCCCAAGGCCAGGCTGGGCACTGGGGCTGGAGCAGCCTGGCACAGGGGAAGGTGTCCCTGCCATGGCAGGGTGGCACCGGTTGATCCTTAAAACCCCTCCGAACCCAAACCATTCTGGGATTCTGGAATTCTCTGTCTGCTTTTCTGTTTGAACTTATGATTTCTTCTTCTCTTGAAGCACTTTTCTCATCCTTTGCCTCATCCTCACAGCAGGCAAACCTCGTGCCATGGCTGTTGTGGTTTTGGTACATCCCATTCATGGCATGGTGCATTGTCCTGTGAACTTGGAAAAATCTCTTGGAGACCTGGATTTTGCCTCAGTCCCTCTCCCTTTTGCAGTGCCAGGACCCAGAGAATGGCTCCCAGTGCCAGAGGGCAGCAATGGATGGGATCTTGGCAATGAGGAATTGTTCCCTGGCAAGTGCCCATCCCTGCAGGTGTCCCCTGGGGGTGGCACTGAGTGCTCTGGGCTGGGGACAAGGTGGCCATGGGGCACAGCTGGCACTGCCTGGGCTGGAGGGCTGTGCCAGCCCCAGGGATTTGGGATTGTGGGATTTATGAGTAAAAAATCCCTTTCTGTGAGCTGGTGGAAAGCAGCACTTCCCTGGTGTCCTGCTGCTTGTCCCACTTGGAGGCTGTGCTGCTGGGGAGGCGCTGGCAGTGCTCGTGTCCCTGGTGCTTCCAACCCAGGGGCAGTGCCAGCCCTGGCCACCCTTCGGTGCTGGACTGTGCCCAGCCTGGCATTCTGCTCCCCACAGCCCTAATTACACAAACTTATTAGTGTTAAAAAAGCTGTTTGCTCCATTAATTAGCTTTGCTCTAAATCCAGAGAGGGAGAAATAAACTCCTGGCAGGCGGGAGAGTTGTGGCTCTCCCTGGCAGCTCTGGATTGCCTCTGGAAAGGCCCTTTGGGACCAGGGTGGTTCCTGTTCTGGCTGGCCCTGCTGTGGGGTACAGGAGGGGCAGGAACGTGCTGGAAACAGGAGCTGGGACCTTCACTGCTCTTGGGTGAGGGTCTGGGGATCCCACTGCCCCCAGCTGGAGAAGGAGATTCTGTCAGCCCTCCTTGTGTCAGTCAGGTCCTTCCCTGGCAGGGTGGGCAGGGCTGGCACAGGGTGCCCAGAGCAGCTGGGGCTGCCCCTGGATCCCTGGCAGTGCCCAAGGCCAGGCTGGGCACTGGGGCTGGAGCAGCCTGGCACAGGGGAAGGTGTCCCTGCCATGGCAGGGGTGGGATGGGGTGGACTTTAAGGTGCCTCCAAGCCCAAACCAGTGTGGGATGCTGTGAATAATGAGAGTTTTGGCCTCTTTCCTGCCTTCTCCCTGTTACCAGGTGCAGCCCTGGGACCTGCTGCTTCTCCCACCCACCCTCCAGCCTCTCTTTGCTGTTGGAATTTGGGGATGTTTCCTGTGGAGGCAGCGCTGTCATGCTGAGTCTGCTCTGCTCCCGTGGCTGATCCAAGCTGGGCTCTCTGGAACTCTTTAATTTTCCTTCACCTTCATTTCCCCAGCCCCTGCAGCCGTGCCCAATTAATTTTCTGGCACCTCCAGAGCTCCAGTTGAGTTTTAGGAGCTGGTGCTGGCAGGGACAAAGGACTCTTTAATTAAAGCCATTGTTCTGTCACTCCTGCAGCACATGGGAGCCTTGAGGAGCTCCTGCCTCACGCTGTGCCAGGGCCTCACCACTGACAGGAACAATTTCTGCCCCAGATCCCATCCATTGCTGCCCTCTGGCACTGGCAGCCATTCCCTGGGTGCTGACCCTGCAGGCCTTGTCCCCAGTCCCTCTGCAGCTCTCCTGGAGCCCCTTCAGGCCCTGCCAGGGGCTCTGAGCTCTCTGCAATAATCCAAATAATACAATTAATGGCAAGGAGTGATGGCAGGACTGTGCCCAGGAGCTTTCCTGGCAGTCATGGCTGAAGTGCCCAGCCCTGCAGTGGATGGAAAACCTTGTGAGGAGCATGAGAAGTCACTGGGGAGCTGTGAGTGGTTGTGTCCCAGGACTGTCCCTGCCTGCTTGTTTTCCCTCTGTGAAATAGTACCGGGGTGCTTGTTTGTTTGGATTATGGACCTATTTTTAAGTAACCTATTTTTTCCACTTTGGAAAATGCATTAACTCACTGTGTGTCACAGACGTCTGTGGGGTTTGACTTTGGGAGCCACCAAGTGCTCCTTGGAGGTCTCTCACCACCCTGAGGGGGAGAGGGGTTGCCTCTGGCACATACATACATTTTTTTGTATACATGTTTTTATCCTCACCTTGCTGAGGTTTGCCACAATAGATATTTGCAGGATCCACAGAGGCACCTCCTGGTAAGTGCTCTTTATCCCACCAAGGAGCTCTGCACGTTCTCAGTTCTGCCACCCCTTCCCCTCCTCTGGGGTTTGGAAATTGCTGATCCCAGCAGCTCTCAGAAAGTGGAAGCAGCAGCAGTGCAGTTGGAAACGGGGATGTTTGCTAACACACACACACGTTTTGCAGGAAAAGGCACTATTTTTGTAGCCCAGTGTTTGTTTTTCCCTGAAGGATGGAGTTTTAAGGTCACTTTAATTCTTCTCTGCAGGTCTGGAGCTCCGGTGCCGTAAATTCGGCTGTTCTGGGAGGATAAAAATGCAATAAACAGGAGAACTTGAGGAATGTTCCTCTCTGAGTTACAAAGGAACAGCTTGCTGGTTGGAACAGCCTGCCCCTTCCTAGGCAAGGGAGGCTTTGGATTGCAGGAAAGGGAGGAATAATTCAGGATTAAAGCTGCTAAGCAATGCATGTGTTTAGATCTGTAAGAGTGCCAGGACATAATTAATGGGTGAGTAAGCCAAAGGGAAAAAAAAGTTATTTTTTTAACTAGATAGAGATGGATGGAGGATAGAAACTTAATTTTTGGGGGGCAGAAATAATTCTGGAAGTGTTCTGCTCCAAGCAGCTGCTGTTGTTCAGGGTGCCTGGGTGGGTTTGTTCTGGCAGTTTGGCAGCTGGAAGGCAAAAATCCACGTTTGGCACCTCGTGCTTCTCACAGAGTGGCTCCAGGACTGCAGGTGAGGTGAGGAGAGCTCCAGGCCAGGCAGGCTGTGCAAGGGTTATCCCCTCTTAATCCGTGTGTGATGGCTTTTCCCACCTGCTGGGCTGGGCTCAGGGGTTGCTGCTGAGGGGACTGATCCCATCCCAGGTGGGGCAGATCCCACTGGAGCTCCCAGCTTCCTCCTCTGGTCAGCATTTCTGGAGCAGGGTCTAAGTCCAGGGATGAAGTGTTGAGGGGAAATGGCTGGTGGAAGGTCTGAGCACCTTGGAGTGTTTTGGGAATGCAACAGCAGTTTGGTGTTCCTGGGGTTTCACACTGGGTCTG